ATTTACATGTTTTAAAACTGTTTTTTAAAAAAAAAACTGTAAAGAATGTCAACATTGAAGATTTGTGTTTTTTCACATTATGCCATTCCTCAGAACTATGTGATTGTAACATTACACTTTTTTTTGTTTTTACTGTATTTCAGCAATAGATATATTTATTTTATTTTATTTTATTTTTTACAGATATTTGCTGTTATTTAAAAGAAAAAAATTATATTAAGGAATGAAAAATTATGCAAAAAAAATTTAAACTGTTAATTCACATATTTTTCCTGTTTTGTAAATCACACATAATATCTTGTGAAATCACAGAAAGGAAATATTCATTTACATGCTGACTGGTAAAAACAACAACAAACAACTGTAAATGACATCCACATCAAAAATCGACCTTTTTAAGAATAATTAGTTCTTTTACAGTGTGTGAACACACATTTTAACTGTTGTTTGAAAAAAAGAAAACCATTCATTTTAAAGACTGAGAAGCCATACATGGCTATTTGTGCTGTTAAATCACAGATTTTCTCAGTTTTGTTAAACTGTCACGTTTCCCAGGTTGTCATGGTGTCCAGAGGATTCATCTTCAGTCGTCCCTTTACCACTATTAGCACTTCAAAGTTATCAAACATCCTGAGAAATACCTCAACATCTTTTGCACAGATATTTATGCTTCCCAGAGGATGATTCGCACAGCGATCATCTGAGTTTAACTTGAGATGTGTTGATTAACCCTCAGCTTTCATTTACTACCCTCTGAAGAAATGAGAAAAACTGCTCTAAAAACATAACAGATTATTATTTTTCTCTACTTTTTTTTGCTCAAAGCTTTCAATCAACTTCTGTCCTACTCAAAAAATACCAAACATTCAAATATTTTTTATTTTTTTTAACCCTTTAAATGCCCATTTAATGCCACGGTGTCACTGTTTTTATGAAAAGGAAACCTGATAAAATGACTTATTTTCCAAATAATAAATGTTGGAGGGCTGTTTTTTTTTTTTTTTCAAAGATCGGGCCTACATATGCATAAGATTATTAATAAAATGGATTTGAACTGCTATGAAAACAACAGAATAATATTTATTTCTACTTTTTTTGCTCAAAGCTTTCAATCAACTTCTGTCCTAATCAAAAATACCAAACATTCGACTATTTCTATAATTTTAACCCTTTAATATTACATGAATGCTGTAAGACGTGGTGCCGATATTTATGGCACCATCAGGAACAAATGGATGAAACAGAACCACTTGGTTGGTGATCCCTTAACTTTTCATTTAGCGCCATCATTGGGTCAAAATTTAATTTGTCTCAGAACACACGCCTCCCTTAGATGTCAACTAGTGTGGTGACCCATCAGCTTAGTGCAGCAAATCCCTGTAGTTTGTGGTCATTTCTGCTCCCTCCTCACTGTTACTACGAAAAAAAGGAATAAAATGCTCTGATAAATGATCTTAAAAAGAAAAAAAAGATGTAAATCTCCAGTGCAGTTGTCACTAATAAACTCACAAAGTCTTCATCCTAACAAAAAATGATGAATCCAGTTCTCTGGTTAATGATTAAATACCATTAAAATCAACTTTCCTTATATTTTTACTGGTAATGAGCAAGTGTTCGCGCACTAACCTGCAGATTTTACTGGTTAACACTATAACTGCTAAACAAACAAAAGCCTTTTTTTCTCATTTAGCAGAACGTGAGACAGTCGAATCGCTTCGTCACGTTGCTGGCAGCGTCGGGGAATATTTAAACTGTCGCAAACGCTGCTAATCAGCTTACAGACGGGGAAATGCAGCTGTGATCCATATGTTTTCCTCACATTTTACACTCTTAATCTTGCTATTCTTCCAACGGGGATTTGGCTTTCGGGGGTGAAGTGACGTCAGTGCTATTTGGAGGGATGTTCACGGTTTTGTGTGATGAGTTTCATATGATAGCTGCACGAGATAAGAGCTGCAAAAACACTGTATTTAAATGATGTCTGACTGGTGAGAATGTGTATGATGAATTTAATGGTCAATTTGTTGGATTACATGTTTAATGTGTTTTCAAGAGCATGTTTTCAGTTGGATTGATTCTCTGTACTGTGTTTTGTTCAGTTTATGGTTTGTAGCAGGTACAATGTGATCAGTGTTTGCTTTTAGAGCCTCTGTCGTCAGTTTGTTAGTGTTTTAGAAGAGTCCAGGTTACAAGGAATGATCGCTGATGTTGTCAAAGCTAATGGAAGAAACACAGTCAGTCACACACAGAGTAACCTTGTGGGTTTCAATGAGTTTTTATACACGTTGTAAAATGAAAAATCTGTCAATGCAGGTGAAACTCTGGCAGCAAGAGTGTCAGAAAAAACATGTTAAAAATGATAGAATCCTGTAATGTTCAAAATCTGTATAAATGAAACAACAAATAGCAAATATCTGTAAAATAGTGAGTTTTTAAAAACTCATTTAAAGACAGTAAAACACTGCACACTTATGATCACACATTGTAGAACAAGAACAAATTATGATTTATAAAAATGGAGGGTTTTGATGTGAATATTAGGTAAGAATTTGACTTTTTTTGTTGTTTTTCTCTCCAGACCAAATGTAAATTAGTATTTTTTTCTGTGAATTTTACACTTAAAAATATTTACTATTTCTCAGTCCTTACTGTACAGATGTTTTTCTTTCAAACTATGCAAAATATTTGTAAAAACGAACACTTTTGGCTCATTTAAAGACATTAAAATATAGATTAATTTTTTAGTTATACACTGTAAAACAATGAATTGCTGTTCATAAAGACACAGATTGTTGATGTGGACATTAGGTACAGGTGTGGAGTTTTTTTTTCTTCAACGTGGCAATTAATGCTTTTTTTTTGTGATTTTACTTGATATTTTCTGACATTTAACAAAACAATGGTTATCTGGGGATACAAGGTGGCTCGGTGGTTAGCATCGCCGCCTCGCAGCAAGAAGGTCGCCGGTTCACGTCCCGGTGAGGACATCCTGCATGGAGTCTCCATGTGCAGAACCAGGGTTCTCTCCGGGTTCTCCGGCTTCCTCTCACAGTCCAGAAACATGTTGAGGTTAATTGATGATTCTAAATTGATTAAGCGGTGTATAGATAATGGATGGATAGATGGACATCTGTCAAACAAAAAACTACAGTTAAAGACAGTATTTGAAACAGATCCCAGGTACATTTGAAACCCTTTCAGTGGATAAATCGTTGTGTGTTTTTCTCAGCTGTCCTTGACTTTTCTTTCCTCAGGCCTTTCAATCAGAGGACACCAAGTAAGTCCAGAACAAATCAATGAGTCTTTGTTTGGTCATGTCCTGAACTGTGTTGATGTTAGCGTGTTATTATGTGACAGACAGCGAGACACACATGAGAGTAATGCACTAATTCTACCTGTTTGTAGAGCCATTCCTCAATATGACATTATAATCCTGAACTCGCTGTTTTCGTATTACAGGTTGTTAGCCAACCTGAACGGTCCAGTCTTCATCCCTGACCCCATCAGCCTGGACAGAAAACACATCCTGGAGGACATAGAGAACAACTACCGAGAGTTCATCAACGCCACCCTGCGCTGCCTCAGCGAGCTCAAGAGGGAGCTGTGTGAGTGGCACATATTCGCTATAGGTGACACCCGCCCACCTCACCCGCTGTTTCAAGGAATAGTGTGGCGTTCTGAGGAGATGTCTGCTGTCTTGTTGGGAGTTAACTGAGAAGATTGAGGCCGACTTTGATATCTATCTATTAAATATGCACTGTAATAGATCAGTGTAAAGCTACCGTCAAATTCTCATGGTAGCGTTCTGCTTTTCCCCCAAAATGAGGTTAAATTATGTAAAATCTGATCTTTTTTTGTTTTTTTGGAGCCAAAAACATAAATGAGCTTCAACAACTTCTATAAAATGGTGAAAAGACAGTATGAGCTGAACAAAAAATGTTCGCACAACACTTGTCAATGCACTGTTTAGAGCAGGGGTGTCCAATCCTGGTCCTGGAGGGCCACAGTCCTGCATGTTTTAGATGTTTGCCTCTTCCAACACACAACCTGATTCAAATGATCAGGATCATTATCAGACTTCTGCAGAGCTTGATGATGAGCTGATCATTTGAATCAGGTGTGTTGGAAGAGGGAAACATCTAAAACATGGAGACCCTGGTTTAGAGGAACAATTTAGACAGGAAATTAATATCATTACTAACTTTACAATGATACCCTTAAATCGGCCATTTTATTAGCTTAGCGTGCTACATTTCTCTGCAGGTAGCTTCGTCTCATTTAACGCCACGAAACTAATAATTTTGCTCACTACACATTTTAGGTGTTTTGCCCAAATTAAACAAACAAGATTTAATGTGTTATTAATTTGATGTTTGTTCACTGCGGTGGCTAACTGGCATGCTAACTGTTTAGCCTAGCCTTTATGCTAACAGACGCTGTCTCCTAGCTTAGATTCATGTTTTATTGTGAGAGCGATATCAATCTTCTCATCTACTCTCTTCTCATAACTCTCAGCAACAACACAAATATGTGTATTTCTGACTGTTGAAAACTATAATATAACTTTATTTTCAATGTTTTAATCTTTAGACGTTCTATGTCAGTGGCCTGTGAGTGATTTTCTGGGTGTAACATTGTGTTTATGGATGGTTTATTTATTAGTCTTTTTTCTTTTTTTTTTAGTCATATACTTTAGATTCTGTCACCAGCAGAAATCTCCAAGCATGTCACTCTATCACTTTATTAATTTCTCCTTCTACAGTGACCAGTCCTTTGACTCTGGACACAAACACAGCTCATCCACTACTGAGCATCTCCGACGACCTGCGTTCGGTCACGCGGGTTAAAACCCGGCTGCCCTGCGCTGCTCACGCCGAGCGCTTCGACCACTGGCCTCAGGTCCTCACCGTCCAGACCTTCTCCTCCGGGACTCACTACTGGGAGCTGGAGGCGGAGGGATTCTGGGATGTCGGCATCTGCTATCGAAGTATCGGACGGAAGGGCAAAGAGGGCAACGCCTTTGGTAACAACAAGGTATACGCATGTGCCACAAAGCTGTCGAGTGTCTTTACACTTTTTTTTTTCGCACTTGTATGTTGTTTTTGTAAAATAATGAAAAGAGTGGAGCCTCTTTTTTTTCATACCAGTGATATTAGTAGAGCTAGTTTGTACCCATGTTCCCCTCAACCCTATTCCTGGCATCACTCTGACTTTTGCTTGAATTGGCTTCAGTGAAAGCAAAAAGGTTTTTCTGGTTTTTATTCATCAAGTCAGAGGAGTCACTAAATTTGGGCTCAGAACAGAACCTCCTGTGTCCTTGTGCACTAAAGCTTTTCAATATTTTCAATCGCGTTCCATTAGATGACTCACATTTGTACTGATGATGCAGAAATGACATGGCACTGAGTTAGTGGTGAAATCGTATTTGTTAACTCTGGTACACAGCGTAGAATGATGAGGACACCGGTACATGTCTTTAACCTCCTCTTGAGGTTTCAGATGGGATTGCAATTAACAATTATTTTCACTATTGAGTCATCTACCTAGTGTTGAGTTCATAAAATGTCGCATTTACTTAAAATCCTCTTACAGTTTCATAAAGCAATGTGGCATGTTTAGATTATTGGTTTCTTTGAGTCAAAAATAGTTTAGTTTTTGTTCTTTTTTGCTTGAAAATTCCTTAAACAGTGAACCAATGAAATGAAAAAAATACTTTATTTATGGTTGAATGGCTGAACATGCTGTTTAATCACTACTTTTTTCAAGCTCTTGTTCCTTGACTGAAGCTCCTCTGTTGAACCTCCAGGTGTCGTGGAGCTTGACTCAGCAACATGACAAAAAGCTGGCAGCCTGGCACAACCGCAGGAAGACCCGCCTCACCAACCAAATGGCCGGCAACCGACTGGCCGTAGCGGTGGACTACAGCGCTGGTACCATCACCTTCTCCGAGGTGGGACCTTCTAACAACCTGATCCACCTCCACACTTTCTCCTCGACCTTCACTCAGCCGCTGTGTTTGGGCTTCGGACTCTACAAAGCTGAGCTCAACAGTCGCGTCTCCATCATCAAAGTCTGAGGCGATGGACAGGAGATAAACTGACTTGGACAAATCCATGCCAAGATGAAGTGGTGTTGAGTCCTTTCCAACCTCTGTAACCACAAGAACATGGGCTGGAGTTCTTCTCTGCTGTTTTCCTGTCCGATCCTGGGCGGAGTTTAATTTCTTCCTCAACAGAGAAACAAAACTGCAATCAGGTGGAAAACATGTTTTTCCCAGAGACCCCCGAGGATGGAACATGTGATGCACCAACGTGGAACAGCAGGTGAAGAGGCTGTTTTCAAAGTTAAGCGGAATCAGTTTGTGATATTATGTTGTTTTTATTCCACAGTGATTAGAACTGCAGGCGACTGGTGATGGTTACATGATAATACGGTCATTTAAATGTTGTAAATGTACACACAGCGGCTCATTCTACACTCTTCTAAGCATATCTAACAGTCTACCTCAGTTAGGTTCTGTGAGTACCGACAACAGAAATAAGTACATCTCTGTGCAGTATAACTTCAATATAAAAAATTGTATCACCTCTCAATAATTGCATTGTTTCTAAGATAAACAGTTGAATATTAAGTCCTATAGATAATTTTAAAAAAAATGCTTTGGAAAGAATATAGACATAAAAAATCCATACAACAAAAATAAATACACCTGTGATCATTTACAAATAGGTTAGAAAACCTGTGATCACTGAAACCAAATGAAGTAAACCTGTATGAACGTGGTTATAAAATGTCCTGCGAACACCAGAACCTTCTCAGTTCTGGACCTGTGGACTGTGTCTGTCTGCATCATGGTTTCACGTGGTGAAGAATTGTTAGAGGAGCTGAAAAAATGTGATTGTAAGGCTTCACAAATATGGAAAATGACACCAGAAGCTCAGCTAAAAATCAGCCAAAATATGTTTACAGCAGTAATCAGGAGG